CCCATCCTTCGGTCAGAGTGCTGCCACCACTGCCGGTCCGATCCCCTTTGGAAGTCCTGCAACTCCAGTCCAAGGCTTCAACTCTGTTCCTTTCGGTATGTCATTTTTGTTTCTGGTGGTAAGGCACTTCCTGCAGAGATCCGCAATTCTGCTTCCCTTCACATCTCCAAGTCATCATTTAAAACTCACCTGTTCACCATGGCCTTTGACCCCTAACCCATCACAGTCCCCCTGTTTCCACTCCTACTGCTATTTAGGAACCACTTTACAATAAGACTATCCTTATAAAGGGTTTACGAATAGTTTGTAATTCATTTATTAGTTAGGTTTTGAACACTTTATAAATCATTAATAAGCTTTTACAAGACATGAGATAAACAGGTGACCGGTTGCTTGCCAAATAGTGAGCCCACATTTATCTGTACCGCTAAGCCTTATTAGAAATGGTAGTAACTCATTAATAAATGGTGATTTGTTTCCACTTTACAATAAGGCTCCCTTTTGGCAGTTATAAATGTTAGTAACTTGTAAATAAATGGTCATAAAGACTAGAGATGCCAAGAAACATCAAGATGGATGGGGGGGGAATCAAGTCAGTGAACAACAGATACCAAGGATGCTGGCTGATGAAGAAGACGAAGTAAGCCAAGTAGCCAATATAAGACTTAGTAGTACAGATACATTATATTGGCTACCTAGCTTACTTGGTCTCCTTCATCAGCCAGCATCCTTGGTATCTGTTGTTCACTGACTTGATTCTCGCTGAGTAGCCAATATAAGGCTTAGTCATCTTGCCAAATAGTGAACCTGTGTTGATGTGTGAAAACTATGTTGGAGCTAGTTTATAAATGGTTCTTAATAATTAATAAAGTGTTTACAACCTAATTAATAACCTATATATAAATCCTTTATAAATCCTTTATAAGGGTAGTCTTATTGTAAAGTGGTACCAACATTTATTACATTTTTACTTCATTATTTGCCTCTCTTGTTTGTTTGTTTGTTCGTCATGTAAAGCAGCCTTGGATCCCTTGAAAGGCGCTATATAAATGTAGTCTATTATTATTAGTAGAAGGTAGGGCTGCTCGATTACGGCAAAAATCATAATCACGATTATTTTGGTCAATGATCGATATAACGATTCAATTGACTTTGAAAACATCCATTTATTGAACTTTAAAACCAATACAAATAATAACTTGAACACTATCTTTTTAACTGTTGATTACTTATGATAACGAATAATTCAACTGAAAAATAAATAAAGTAAATGTTACATTTATATTCACATTTAAATAAAATAATATCAAAATAATAAATACCAATAAACAAGATCAACAAATATTTTGGAGCGCACTTCCACAAGCTACTAAACATATATAAATATGATAAATAAAAATAAATGATATCAAATATGTTGCACAACCTAGCAAAGCCAAATAATAGTTTTTTTCGATTATGTTGTTTTCGTAATTGCGATTAAAATACGATGCACAGCCCTAGTAGAAGGACAAACCTACATTTGATCCTTAGAAATGACATGTGCTTCTTGTCGTTATCCTCAGGGTCCCCCAGTCCCCAGCAGGCTCCCTCCTTCTCCATCGGAGCCGGATCAAAGCCAATTGGAGCTCGTCAGAGGCTTCAGGCGCGGAGGCAGCACAACAGGAAGAAGTAACGTGCTCCGTGTGTCCAGCTCCGCCTAAAGAGGACTTCAGCTGCTGCTATCGTTGATCTGGCTTACGTTGCTCTGATCAAACCCCTCAAACCTGGCTGCCACCACGTCCTCTGCTCCCCCTCCTCAAGTGGTTGTGCTTGCCCGAAACATTCTGTTTGTAGAGGAGTTAGAATTAGAAAGCGGCCTGGATAGCTACATGTGAGGAGACAGGATCCATAACAACGTACTATACTTGAAGAGAGGGAGAAGACACGTTTGATTTTGAACAAAAGCATATCCAAAGTCCTTTTTTTTCCCTTTTACAGTGTGTGGACACTCCCATTGGTTGGTCTTAAGGAGAAGTTGAGACGCCTCGACTCAAACATTTATTTTTTATACGTGAAGAGCTCACTGGTTTGTATGTTACAGAGTATTTGAGTTCGTTATCTGAATGAATGAGTGTGATTGGGATGAAAGGCACAGTTGATTCAGATAAGGTACAAAAACACTGCAGTGTAAATGTAAAGTTATGAGAAGTTTGCATTTTTAAATTATTTTTTTAATTGGCTCTCTGACCCTGTAAATGAATTATGTGTTTCTGCACTTAAAGGGCGACTTAGTTAATGTCTTAAAGTAGTTACTGCAGACTTTTGTGTTCTCGTCTCATACTTTTTGTCATTTCAAGCATTCCTAGAGCCTTTTTTTGACAGTGATTGCCAACACTGATGTAATTAGCAGGTCAGTATAGGACTAAGATGACTACTCTTATCTTATGCTAACTCATCAACTTCATGCCTGTGAAAAGAATCTGTGAACTCCGTCTCTCTTTATGCTGAGATGTTTGTTTGTGCCAGACTACCTCTCTTTGCTCCAGGCGCTGAATCTGTGTCACTGACAGGATTGAGAAGATCAATAATATTTTAACACCTTTTTTAATTAATACAGTCAGTGTTTAAATTACATGCTGCAAAACAAACATTAGCCCCTCTGGTATTTCATTGTTTTAGTAGATAAATAATATCAGCTTTACTTAGATACAATTTGTCATATTGAAAAGTATTAGTTATCTGCTTAGTAATTGCATAAACTCAAAAATGATGATGTCAAAGATTTTTGTCAAACACACAGGACGATAAACACATTTCTGTCTGCGGTCGAGGTTTTTTTTTATTAAAATGATTTCTGTTTTGTGTGATGCATTTTGTGGTTAATTTTGAATGAATAAAAACAGAATTTTGGACTTGAATGTTACAAAAAGAACACATTTCAACCCTTTGGGGTCCCATTCTTCTTTTCTCTTCATGTGACTATTGACTTTTATATATCAGGGTGTCCGCGGGGTCTTAAAAAGTATTAAAAGTTGATAAATCAATTTAGCGAAAATGAAGTCTATTAAAAAGTATTAAACGGCATTTTGTAGCTTGTTTTCAATAAGTTTATAAATTGTCCAAAGAGGTATTCTACAGTGCGCCTGAATGTAATCATTGCGTAGGTGTGTAGTGTGATTCTGTGTAGTTTATTTATGGCATCCCGTTGGATTTGACGTCATCTGAACAGGATATCGGACGCTCACTGCTTGATAGCGCGTGAAGGTCCGTTTACGCCGGTTGTTAAACAACATCGTTATGGGGAAATGCAAGTCTGCGTCCAAATGGTTGGAAGATAAGGAGGAAGGACAACCAATACTGTATATAGTAAATGTGAGGTAAAGTATGTTGCCAATGTAACCGGTTAAAACTCGAAGTGGAGATGAGGTCTTAAAATGTATGGAAAGGATCTTAAAAAAGGTCTTAAAAGGTATTACATTTGAATTCAGGATTCCTGCATATACCCTATATATTATTTTGACTTTATCTGAGTCCTTTATGTAAGAATACAAGAGGTCTATATCCAGGGGTGCACACAACTTTCTCAGTGAGGTACTCAGATGAGTACCTGGAGTCAGCGTTTGGTACTCCAACTTCCGGCTCCCCTCAAAGTTCCCATGAAGCCCTCTGTATCGCGAATATCAGCGGGTGGGGGTGCTAGTGGAGTATGATGAGGCCCTCTGTATCGCGAATGTC